CATTCATACATAATTAATTGTTTATCATCAGCTGAACTAAGGAGTTAGCAAGATATTACTAGCCATACATTCATACATAATTAATTGTTTATCATCAGCTGAACTAAGGAGTTAGCAAGATATTACTAGCCATACATTCATACATAATTAATTGTTTATCATCAACTGAATTAAGGAGTTAGCAGGATATTACCAGCCATACATTCATACATAATTAATTGTTTATCATCAACTGAATTAAGGAGTTAGCAGGATATTACCAGCCATACATTCATACATAATTAATTGTTTATCATCTGCTGAATTAAGGAGTTAGCAGGATATTACCAGCCATACATTCATACATAATTAATTGTTTATCATCTGTTGAACTAAGGAATTAGCAGGATATTACCAGCCATACATTCTGTTTAGTATATTTTGGTAACTATGTGTTTGTTTAGTATATTTTGGTAACTATGTGTTTGTTTAGTATAATTTGGTAACTGTTCTAGTTGATCGTTACAAAGCGTAGAGAACTGTTTTTTGTTGTCAATTCGAAAACCTAGTTTGTTTGTTTGTTTTTTAGAGCAAAGCCACATTGGGTTATCTGCCGTTTCCACAGTAGGGAATTAAACACCGGATTGTAACATTATAAATTCCATAAACTTACCGCAGACCTACCAGGGGACGCCACGAAGAGAGTCCCAATAAAACAATGCAGGTGTTGTTTTTTTTGTCCAAACAGAACTGTTAAACTGAGTCGCTTCGTTAATTTATTGATTTGGTTTGGACGAAACCACAGTGTAAAAATATTTCACAAAGAATTGAAAGAACTAATAGATAGGGATGGAGCTAATAAACTTGAGAAGAAAAAAAGAAATTCTTTGGGGAGTTTTCTCTACCAGTAAACTTGGGAATGGATTACCATGTCGGAGTTTCACTACCTAGATCAGGATCTGTAGAACGTTATCATAATAAGAACTGTTGTTTTTAACATCATCATCAAATTCTGAATTCCCCTCACGTTTACCTAATAACTGTCGGTTCATGTGTGACACCACGACTAGAATATTTTTCAAAATTCTCTCAAATGGAAAAGTTTAGAAAACCTTAAAGAAACTTAGTATGCTTTAAAATCACCGAGCTCTGTCTGTTCCACAACTAAACAGAAAAGTTCAGCGTCTAATTCAAAGATTATTTCTGTAACTCACGAGTTATAAACATTGATAAGATGCTATACGTTTTTTTTTATGTTATAAGAGTAGCGTACATTACGTTTCTCAGAGGGAAAGTACCTCAGTTCTGCTACTTTCACACAGAGGAAGAGTATTGTGTTGTGTCCACCGCAGGTGTCGAACTCAGAATTTTAGAGATATAAGCCCTAGAAAAAAAAATTAACTTGGTTGTTGAATTTCGCGGAAAGCTACACGAGGTCTATCTGCGCTGGCCTTCCCTGATTTAGAAGTGATAGACTAGAGAGTTTGTTTGTTTGTGTTTGGAGCAAGGCCACATTGGATTAGCTGTTATGTCCACCGCGGGGAATCGAACCCCGGATTTTAGCGCTGTAAGTCCGTTGATTCGCCACTGTCCCACCAGTGGACGATAGACTAGAGGGAAGGCAATTAATTAGGAACACTCACCCGTCAGCTCTTAGGCTACTCTTTTACCAACGAATATTGGGATTGACCGGTCGTTATAACACCCTCACGGCTGAAAAAGCAGACATGTTGGTGACGGGGAATCAAACTTGCGAGTCGAGCAACCCTAGCTATCAGGTCATGCCAGGCCATGAAAATATATATATATAATTTTTATATTTTATAAAGTTTAGATCAAATTATTAGGGGGCGAAAAACACCATAAGCTTATCAAAAGCACAATAAATTTTATAATTCATGGCTGATAATTTCCTTAATTCAGCTGATGATAAACAATTAATTACGTACAAACACATAGTTACCAAAAACATAGTTACCAAATTATACCAAACAAACACATAGTTACCAAACAAACACATAGTTACCAAAATATACTAAACAAACACATAGTTACCAAAATATACCAAACAAACACATAGTTACCAAAATATACTAAACAAACACATAGTTACCAAAATATACCAAACAAACACATAGTTTCCAAAATATACTAAACAAACACATAGTTACCAAACAAACACATAGTTACCAAAATATACT